AGTAAATTATTATCTTTTACAATAACTCACTCAACTCATCGACTACGGATATACCATGCCACTACGCCATAGTCCCTAAATGATACATGGGAATTCAATCAATTAGACTTATCTATTCTTAGTTATCATGTATCTATAGTTCTTCATTCATCTAATATCTCGAAGATCGTATACCAGGTATGGTACTGTTATGTCCATTCAAAACCTACTCGAGTCTCTCTCTAATCAGATTCTTCTGGAGAACTTCTTTCTCTCTTAATCCGAATGACCATAGTTAGAGATTTGCTTGAGTAATAATATATAAGATATTTCTCTCATGACACCGAGAGTAGATGATCATCTATCGACACTCAATTGCCCTCATAAGGTTGGCTACCACCCCTAATATTCAGTTGTGCTAGATCTGGAACCTTAAGACCTATAAGTTCGATATCAAAGAGCGGAGTACTCATACAATACATTCTTAGTGTCTCAAGTCTAAGGACTAGACATACAACTAGGATCACAGAATCACTGTTTGATAATAAGATATCATTAACCATCCAGCGTTCTGTGAGCGGATCAATCAATGAACTCATTCTCCAATGAGCACCTACATTGTATCCCTAGTGTCCCCACATAAGCAACTATAAGACAAGTCATCTCTATCATATGGACGGGTATACAGTATGCTTGTATGTCTGATTATCTCGATGTCTCTCTCGAGTTACTTACAATTGAAATTATTTATGGTTTGTGTTTAAAGGCAAATCAATCTTATTATCGTGATCTCATCATGATCCAATTTTTATTACACGGATCTGTGGACATCACAATATATGCAACATGTAACATAGAGTGAGAAAATATCAATAATAATAATAATAAGTAAAAAGACTGTATAGTGTGTCACATATGCAATCACTCACGTGATTAGCTTACAAAACACTTATGACTAGCATCTGTGTTGGCGTCGATAGGTGGAGGGAATCAAGGACAGTAGGGTGGAGGTCGCGATAGTGAATCTAACCATTACAACTCTGAGCTATAAATGAATAAAATAAATATGGATAATAACACAACTAAAGAGTCTATGTTAACATTTGTCCATCATAGGGTAGAATTGTTACCAATAGTGAAAGTACTCTGGACGATACAAAACTCTATACACGATAGGGAATAAGACGACATCAGCTTTGACTTGACTCACTCAGTAACCCATCGCTACCTAGGTCCTAGGTAGTGATATGGGCAAAAGAACCCACATGCTCTTCTTCTCCACGACAAGTGATAGGGAAGTGACCTTCCACCTCTAGCCAACCGTAGCTTCAGGAAAGGCTGCATGAGTTGACCACAAGGAGCATTAATCTATGGTGACAAAACCTATTTCCCATTTCCGGTCACCTGACACAAGCGGCCATCATCTACTTATCTCGAGCAAGTGTTAACCCTGGCAAACGGCACCCCTGCAGTCATCCTTCGTTGGCGGCACACCACAGGGAATTGTACCCATCGATTGCTTGCATAATGAGCCCCAGAAGGATGTAAAACCCATCCACATCAATTGTAGGCCTTTTTTTATCGATCATTTAGGTATAAAAATCGATTCCTAAGGTCAAAGAAAGGGGAGGCACTATTGTTTTCACTCTTTTTAGAAACTAATTTAATCATCAAAGAGATCGGATTAAGACCCCCCCTCCCGGACGTTGACCATTTGTGCAGGGATCCCAAGCAGTACCTCATTATTGCTTTAGCCGGACTTTTTCCCCACTTCAGCCACGAAACAAGATGAGCTTGAGCCTTCACAACAGAATCAAACTGTGGTAACTCCTCAGTCAACAACGACACGGCAATAACAGATACGATCGGGTATAATTGCGTGAGGCTTCAATACTAAGCGGAGCACATGGTAGTTTTGGGTAAAAGGAAAACTACCAAGCGAAGCACATGGTAGTTTTGGGTAAAAGCAAGGCAATAACAGATACGATCGGGTATAATTCCCTCCCCTCCTCCCCTCCCCCCTACAATACTAAGCGAAGCACACATGCACACAATGGAGTTTTGGGTAAAAGGAAAATTCCATGCATGCCGGAAGCGTGAAATCAATGGGATTGAGCATCAAGTACAGCAGGCCGCCAGACTCCCTCATCACTCCCGCAGGACCACCTTCATCCGGAAGCTGTTTACTGGCGTCCACCCGAGACTCCTGATGGACCTTTCAGAGCAAGTAAACCATGGCGAGATAGATGACATTTACATAGGTAAACAAAGAAGCAACAGAGTGCAGCAAATAGCTTTCTTAAGCCAGCAGCAAGGAGATACAGCTACCAACCACTCACTAGAAACCTATCCACCACCTATCTCCTCTGAGTGCAGTCACCTGAAGCAAAATCCCTTCCACCAAGAAAAGGAAAACCACAGAGGAGTGCTTGATAATAGTCACATCTTACCATATTGATTGGTAGCTTTACATCTCACCGGGGTACCAAGTAAGATGGCGAGGAGCAGAAGGGTGGCCTTCCTTGGTTCGGGACATGGGTTGCATTAGCAGATCCATGAACGCCAGCACGATGACCTTGTGCTGCTTCTCCTCGTTCAACCTCAGGTAGCAATGTAACAGTTCCTGAAGGCAACACCAGTCCCACAGCTCGTGCGCCGCCACCATCTCCTCCATCGACGCCCTGAAGTCGCAGTAGGGGTCCTGCGAGTCCATCGTAACCGTCATGCTTCCGTCGCAGAAGGAAGCGTTTCGGCTCTTCGTGTCCGCCAACTGTCGTACACCTGTGCCCGGCTTGGCCTCCTCCATGATGCAGTTGGTGGTTCGCGGGGAGAAGAAGAACCTCTTGGAGCTTATCGGCCCCAACGGGAGGTTATCCACGTCGTCGTTCTCTCGGGTGCTTCGGGTGGGGGAGGTGGAGGAAGAGGAGGACATGGTTGGGGCGTCGCTACAGACGTTTTCCTCGTCGGGTTGAAGGACAAGTATACCGATAGGTGGCTGATGGTTGAGCTTGAGATGATCAGAGGAGGAAGCTGAGGCGGCTGCAAAGTCACAATACAGGCGACAGAAGCTGGAGTGGATGCCTACTCCTCTAAAGGACTGGGTTTTAGGTTCTTGGATGCATGTTGGACTGGGCTTTATGTTGGTGATGGCTCCTTGGAGTGACTTCAAGGAAGACTTCAGCTTCTCCATACAACCTTCTCCTCCCTCTGAGGATGCAGAGAGCGAGTCGGACACAGAGCAAAGCAGGGAAGTGCGAGAGAGGAGTGAGAAATAGACAAATATATAGACTAGTATTAATTAGTACGCTGAGAATTATGCATTATGTATTTTAAGCAATTTAAAGTGATGTTTACCTCCGCAGAGAAAGAAAAGTACCTCTTCAATCAACATGGAAAGAGAAACAACATAAATTAAAGAGATTATAAGGAACAGTACTGCTTTGGTGAGAAGAGACAAACAACACTAAACAAGATCATCTACAAAATAATAAAGAAATCATAGTTGGTTTGTACGTAGTTGCTAAGACATACATATATGCACGCATGCATGGAGACAGGGACATGAAAACACACAAACCATAGTGTACATGTTGATGGAATCACTGATGATCATCCGATGGGAACTATTATGGTACAGAACGAGCGTTCGGTCTAAGAATACGTATCAAGATAATGAGTATGTCAAGAACAGATTATGTGCTACGGGCAACACATCATGTTAAGGATGTTCCCGAAGGATTTAGATGGTAGTGCATGTAATTTTCTTTCGCCCATTGCGTTCCAAAGACTGCCTGCAAAGCATCTTCTCTGTGTGCAGAGTGATGTGTATTGACATGATTAAGGGTTTGTCTTGTAGTTATATTTGCGTACCAATTCCGAGCAAAGTTGTAGTTGTCCTTTTGTGAACAGTATTTATCATCGTCTTTACCGGACTGGCAGCTTTTATTTAAAACCAGATCTACGAATACATAGAATTACTAAATTCTTATTGGATTCTGCAGATTGTTCTGCAGAGATGGACAAATCAAGACTGCTGCGAGTCAATCATGTTGTTCTCTTGTCAGGGTGCAACTTGGTGTTTTTGCTTTGGATCCAGCAGCAGTGGACGGTCTAAAATTGGAGATGCTCATGAAACCCAATCTTAAGGAACAAGCAAAGACACTTGGATGACTAGTCCGAGCAGAAGCAGTAGGATCAACATGAAAACATATGATCCATTCATCTCTGTAGGACTCCTACATCTGCATCAGTGTGGTTCTTTTAGGGAACGCTGGTCTCACAAGCTAAATCCTCTAAGCTTAATGAATGGTTCCCTGGATTCAGTTGGTTCCAGCGTCGTCTTCTGGTTCTTCTCCCTCTCTCACCTCCCCCTTGGATCATGGATTCTCCTGAGAGAAGTTGACGAGCACAGTCCCCAACGCCGGTGATTAAAGCAGCGGCTGCAGCTTGCCTTACCGTTCACTTCAGCGTCTGTATCGGTATGCATGCTCCTGCTTAACATTTGGCCGCTTCTCCTCTTCTCCCTCGGTGGTTCTGTAAGCGGACGAAGGGGGGACAGACCATAGCAGTAGTTTAAGATCTGATTTGGCTTGCCGACCGAGGAGTCCACGAATCCAACCTGGAGATACTGCACAGCGTATACATCCATCTCTCTTTCGAGATGGGAGTTCCCATGACCTGCTAGTGTGCAGTGACGAAGCGAGTCATCCAGTGTACACGTGAATTTTCTGATATATACTCAGTTGCCTAGTACAACAGTTCTAATGATGCAAGACCTGCAGCCTTGTTGGCTTCCCCTACTCGAACTCACTCGCTCTAAAAAGCTTGGGCTTCTGCTACACCTACACCGCCAATAATAAATAACGATCTCAACAAGTTCAAGTTTGGTACTGTTTGCTGAAGTGGTGGCTTCCGCCCAATTGAACGGCCTACGTCTGAAGGGCCTGCTTGAAACAGCCCGTAGCATTTGGACGGATTTGTCCCCTCCGAAGATAGTTTATGGGCCTTGTGGCCTTTCTTCCTCTTTTGCCTCTCCGTTAAGACACCCCTCGAGATCCGTTAGTCGTCAAGAACCTTCCCTTCTCGCCGAACGCTTGGTCGAGGTAACGTTGACTCGTCTCACTAGAGATCGGCAAGAGAATGAGCGGCGTCGGCGTCGCTCGCCAGGCGGGAGTGGTCAAGATCTTCGACGCCCACTGCCACCTCCAAGATCGGAGGATTGCCTCCGTCGCGCCCCAACTCATCCGCACCGCCCTCGACTCCGGCGTTCAACGCTTTGTCGTCAATGGCGTCTCCGAGGTTGGGATTCTGCAGCTTCTTTCTTGATCGATCCTTCTACCTTCTTTCTTTCTTTTCTCCTTTTAGATGGATTGGCATATCGTCAAGCAGATGGGGGACGAGTACCCTAGCATAATTCCGTGCTTTGGTCTTCATCCCTGGTGAGAACTGTCCGTTCCCCTGCCTGTATTCTCGAACGGGTTTCGGATGACCGATTTCAAGTTTGTGTGTCGAGCAGGTACGTTAACGAGCGATCCCCAAACTGGTTCAAATCGTTGAGGGAATTCCTCGCTGAGACACCGGGGGCCGCGGTTGGCGAGGTTGCGTTCGCTTCTTCCTCTTTTGTTCTTGTATTGTCCATGATTTAGATGTATCTTGATTAATATGATTCATTTTTATCTAGATTATGTTAATCTAGTTCTTTCTTGGTTAGTTATAGCATTACGTTCTTTTCAAATATCCTTAATTTCCGTATTGATGAATGATGAGCATGGCATATATTAACTAAGGTCTTAAAGTAGCCAATGATTGTTACTGACTTGGACCCAATCTGTGTTTTAGTTTCATACACGAGGATTGCATGTTCATTGAACAGAAGCACTTCGAACTGGCCTCCTTGTAATAATGTGAAAAAATAAAGATGTAAAGGGAAAGTGTTATTTATCAGAATTTTATTTTGATTACTTCTTTTATTTGAAAATAAGCTGTCATAGATTTGAATCTTGTTTTATGCTAGCCGTAGCATACTGTATTAACATGGTACGATTATGCAGTCATGCCGTGCTGAAGGTGTGTCAACATTTTGTTGGTTTGCAACAGAGTTCATGTTGAGTTGATTTGTGTCAGAGGCACATCTATGGCATGAGCCGTGTAACAAAAATTGAATCATTACAAGTGCAATGTTGGATTAGGTACAGACAAAGGCTAACGTACAAAATCGGTTGACTTTGAATAATCCTATCTTCATTGATGGTCCTTCAAGATCTACGTACCAGTTGGATGTAATGGTAGTAGTATATTTTAAAAAATGGAAAAGGTCCAGAAAGCAGAATAAGTCTAGTGTATTTGTTGTTGAAATTACACAAAGATGATTATCCAAAGCCTTCTAATTTGCTTTCTAACGATCACTAATCTTGATTTATCGGTAGTGTATGTTAATATATATATATATATATATATATATATGAGTTATGCTGATTCTTTTGGATGATATAGGATGTTTCATGACTGAGTATGCCTATTCCCATCTTTTACATACAGAATACATTTGTTTGAAATAAAGTTTGTTTGATAGTAATATGTTGTCATGATTTTGGATCATGCATACTAGGTGTTGTTGCATAGTTTTAACCTCTGAAACCTGTAGGGTTGGGAGCATTGTACATTTGACATCTACATGGGTTAGTGTTTCAAATTTTCTTGAATGGTAAAACTCAGGTTCAGTGAAACATTGTCGTTTCTTCCCATCTTCTTGACCCTCAGAAAAAAAAAAAGAAGTGAAGGGAAATGCATTATCCTTTTGGTTGAATGGTTATGTCTTGTACATGTATCTAATATTAACTTGTGCTTAAACATATGCAGATTGGTCTAGATAAAGGTGCCCATGCCAAGAATATTGATTTTGGAGAACAGGTGAAGCCCATTTTAACTTTTAATAGACTAATTTGATTTTAATGCTTATCTTTGACATTTTGTTGTCTTGTTTCATCTAGTTACTTGCATTCCCTGACTCTGCAACTAGCCTTTTGTTGTCGTCTCAATGCAACTGTCATTGAACTTTGTTTTTCTTTTAGGTGGATGTTTTCCGGCAGCAACTTGAACTCGCCAAAGTCTTAGAGAAACCTGTTTCTGTCCATTGCTTGCGTGCTTTTGGGGATCTTCTAGAAATCATGTTGTAAGGCTTTAATTTAGTACTCGGCAATTAAGAAACTGATTTTAAGTTTTTCTGTTTCTTGAAAGTAAGTGTAATAAGTTGTTTGTCTGGAACATGAAAACATCAAGAAGTTGGTCCAAGAAAAAAAAATCCTATAATGTTCTTGTTTGCCTTTTTTACATTTTTCCCACATGACTACTATTATAGTTTTAAACATGAGAATATCTGTTACTTTCAGAATTTTGTCATAATTTCTAGGTGGTCATAAGGATGTCAAAGCATTAAGTGCTTCAATTTGTTGTGACTGGTAACGATCCTAGCTCTAGAGAACTTTGTACTTTGTGTGTTATTATTGAGCAATACCTTCGGCATTACGTGAGTGCCAACCAACGGGATCGGGTGAAGTTATTAAACGCAGCCTAATTCTCCTATAACTTACAACAAAATTCTACATTCAATAAGAGCCCATTCGAGATTATTACGAGACAATAGTCGTCGACTTCTCACACATTGGCAATTGGTTATACTAAGAGTAGTTCGTCAGTATATCACTTTGCAAAGTAATGACACCAAAATGTAGATATTGTGGGGCTTAGTCGGAGAAGGTAACTAAAAAGATAAAGAAGTGGGCAGACTTGAGAAGGCGACCACAGGAGTTTAAAGTTGGTGACTTGGTATTGGTGAAGCTCCAACCAACATCACTCCAACTCTTTAGGCATAAAGTGCACAAGGGATTGGTGCCTAAGTACAAAGGACATTTCTCAATTATTAGCAGGATAGACAATGTCTCTTACAAGTTGCAGCTATCGGCATGGCTCAAAATTCATAATCTTTTCCACGCAAGCAACTTGAGAGTCCACCACTCAGACTCATAAGATATTTCCCGAAGCGTTCCAACTCGGCTACCCCCCACTAGAGTCTTCTATGAAAAGCGAGTTAAAACCATTTTAACGGATCACAAGATAAAGCTACCGAACGAAGCAAAGTAGATCGAGTTCTTGATGATGTGGCGAAAGCTTTCGCAAACAAAAGTCAGTTGGGAACCTGAAGATGCTTTGTGATACAAAGAAGCAGTCATCAGTAAGCATTGACAAGGGCGTCAACAGTTTAAATGGGGGAAAATATCACGAACATTTGTCGCACACTCGCAACATCTTCATCAACAAACCGTTTGCCACTTTGGTTTGCTTGTACATATGTTTGGCAGCGTGTTTTGCCTTGGTTTTGTGTGTTTTTGCTTGAAAACTATGAGCAGGAACAGATCGCAACGCTATGGAGTGATCACTCACTAGAATGGAGAGCCCCAAAATGGCCCCTTTTTTGCATGCCACGACTTGTTTTCTACAGACTGTGGTGCAGTGCAAAACGTCAACCATTTCAACACCCTAGAACCCCCTAGGTGGCACTGGGCTGGATAGGGGTTTGGGGTAGTGTTGGGCATAGATTGGATTTCACTAGTTCGTACGTTAAGCCTATGGGAACTTGCCATCGCGGCCGACACTCAGTGAGCGGTCATTTGCGGATTTGCAACTGTTCGTTTGCCATCTAAAGTTCTTGTTTTCTCTTTTCTCTCTTGCACACCGAGTGTTTATTGAATTGCTTGAAAAGTTGACATCTTTGCAAGACGTCTGAACTTGTCTACTGCTTGCTTTCGAATTAATCGATTTGCTCTTTTGTAGGTCTTTCGGGACCTAACTGAAGTTGCAACTAGGTTGACCCTTTGCGGACGGATAATGTAAGGGTGCCTCACGACTTCGGCAATCCCAGCTAAGTCTGTGACATTTGCGCAAGAGTGCCTCACGACTTAGGCAATCTCAGCTAAGTCCGTGACATTAGCGCGAGGGTACCTCACGACTTAAGCAATTTCAGCTAAGTCCATGACACTGCCGCAAGGGTGTCTCACGACTTAAGCAATTCTATTTAAGTTCGTGATAATACGACTGGTCAATATATTTCAAAGCACTTATTTCTTTCAAATGTTAAATGTTTCATTGAAGAGGTCTTAGTGAACTATGCTGATGCTAAATGTCATTTCTTCCAACATACGAATAAGGTTAGATAGTATGCAATATTTAGCTATGTTATTTTTGTGTTATCTTCATTTGCTGTCCTATTTTTCTCACAGTTTCTTTACATTGATACTTTTGGATTATGTTGGTTTTCCTTCTATCAACACAATTTGCTTGAAGCATCCAAACTTCTTGTTGCAAGAGACAAGGAGGAGCTGGTGTGTGTGTGTACTTAATGTCAGTCCATGGTACTGAGCTGATCTGTTTGCTCAGAGACTAACTGTTTATGTTGGATTCTTAATTATGTGCAGAAGTTCTTTTCAGGTAGTACAATTGATGACCATTCAGATAATCTGATTGTTAAATGTAAAATTATGGATGAACATGAATCCAAAGTGTCAGTAGTGCTACCTGCTTATTTAGTTTATTCATCCACTGTTGAATTTATACCTTGATCTCGTGATGGTAAGGCTGCAGACAATGAACCTTGGGATTTCATCAAATAAAGTTTCTTGCTTCTTTGTGATAGACTTTGAAAGAATTTACTCTGAGAAAAAATGGTTTTTAATATTTTGTAATTGTTGTTTTTAAAAATGTGATGCATCAAAAGTATCTCTGTTAATTGAATGTGGAGCTTGTCTTGCCAATGGTGGCTGCAACAGGAGTGAAGTAACTTAGTTGTTTGATCCACATCATTCTGTACCTTGATGAATCTGGTAACAACTCAATTTTATTACTATTTTTCATGACCAGATCCACGGGGCCTTTCCCAGCAGGTGTTATTTTGCATTCATATATCGGATCTGCTGAGTTGGTCCCTGGCTTGGCAAAGTTGGGATCGTACTTTTCATTTTCTGGGCATCTCACATCCATGAAGCCGGAGAAAGCAAAGAAGATGCTTAAATCGGTTGGTATTAACGTGTGTTATTATGCAAGTACTGAGGGAGAAAAAACTTTTTACTGATTTCGGAATATTTTCGATAGTCACTTAATTTGACCCCAGAGTTGTTGTCTAGGTACCCAAAGACAGAATTTTGATTGAGACAGATGCCCCTGATGGATTGCTATCAGTGAAGACGAGTTCTTCGTTTCCATTTCCAGATGTTGCTTCCACAGCAGAGACAGAAAACCAGTTTGGAGATTCAGCTGCAGAGGCAACAAGTCTGTCGAAGGAAGGACTAAATCATCCTGCCAACATTCATCGTGTAAGTTTGTTATATATATATTTCACCGAAGATTACAAATGTCATACATAAAAGGAGCAACATTGCCCCTTTTTTAGTTGATTTAACCTCTACAATCCTGAACCCAACTTAGTCACTGTCTAAAATACGGTAAGAATGATGACATGATTTTTCAGGTGTTGAAATATGTTGCAACACTACTTGAAATGCCCGAGGAGGAGCTCGCTGAGCTGAGTTTCCAAAACGCTACTCGCTTGTTCTCTTATCCTGGTTCAAAAGTTAATTCTGATGGCTAAGGTCTGTTTCTATGTAACAGCACGGTCTGGTATGTCTACATATCACATGAACTTTAAGCTACAGCTACTTCCATTGTTAAAAGTACTATGCCTATATTACTGCTCATGACACGGATCAACGATCTGGATGGGTGACGTTTTTTTTTGTTTGTTGGTGTAAAAAAAACCAAAAACCATCAGTGTTTTCCTTCAAGAATTATTTGATTACAATTGAATCACGGGCAGTTTTGCATGGGACAGCAAGCGATACACGGAAGACATGGTTCATCGTGTGGGTTCTTCTGATGCTTCATGGTGGTGGAAAGATTTTAAAGGAAAATTTGTCTATATGTTCCTGCAAATTTAGTTTAGTGTGATGCTGAAATCTTAATGGATTTTCTTTTGGGGGAAAAAGAATCGGCTTCTATTAGAAAGAGAGAGAGAGAGAGAGAGAGAGAGAGAGAGAGAGAGAGAAG